TGCAAGTGCTTCTGAACCTCGAACACAGAAGGCACTCTATGAGCTAGGATTCTCTATACTGAATTCTGTACTAGTACTTCTTGAAGTCTATAGACATGAGGTAGCATTAACATTCTCTGGCATCTTGAGTTACAGATTTTTATTTCTTAGTGCTGGTCTCATGATTGTAATTTCCTTTGCTTCTTTGTAGCTTTATGAGCATTTTCAGTTTAATCATGTAAATATTCCTATTTCTTGATGCATTAAAGTACACTTTTGTTTTGCAATTCCAGTCTTACTCACATAATTCAAAACTTCGGACTTCCTCACACTATTGTTCTATACTGATATCCGATTCTTTCCTAGTCTGCAGTTGTCTACCTGCTACTTAAGTTTGTTGTTGATTGGGTTGGTGGACAAATTACTTACTTGGAGGCCCAAGAAACTGTTGCTGTTGTTAATTTCTGCATGCGCTTGCTTCAGCTCTACTCATCTCACAATATTGGTAGGGTAAGTTTCTGATGGGGAATGTGGAATGATTTATTTTATGTTTCAGTAGTTTAGTTTGTGACTTTATTTTGTTTCCTACATTAAGCTTTGTTTCATCCTCAGTTGTTTTCATTCGTTATGCTTTCTTTTAATTTAAGTTATTTTATTTTGGGTTTCTTATAAATTGCCCTAGGTTGGTGTTTAATATTTAGAGTTATCACAATCTATTTCTCCCTTCTTGCTTTTCTTCCTTGTCCTGCGTCAGTTTCTTTAATAATTTACGTTGGTTCTTAAATGAGCATACACTTGGTTAGAAGGAAAATTTTGAAATTTAGAATCTGGCATTGGACTCGGTGTGTTCTTTTTGATAGTTAAAGGGCTGAAGAGTTTTCTTTTGTGGCTCCCCACCACAAATCAGTCAGTGTGCATTCAGCTCTTAAAAGTTCTGTTCCATAAGATATTTCACATGTTTAATAAGTTGCACTCTTAGTTATTAGTAGTGTTAGCCCATTCCTAAGACTCATGTACAAGAATTTTTTATAAATATTTGCCAAAGGATTTGTGCCACCTCAAGTTCTTCATCAGTCTGGGGATTACAAAAATGTTAATCCATTTCAATCCATCTGCAAGTCTTGAGAGTGAAAAGTTAGGAAGGACAACTGTTAATGTGGTACAAGGCACAAATTCATGCTTCCTTCTTTTACAACCTGTCCTTCTCTCAGTAATTTTCAAGTTTCATTTGAGAACTTAGTGGTACTCAGATTCATAGTTCAATTTAGCTTCCATACTGAATTTATAACATTTAGCATCTTCTGGGTAGGTATAGGATTAAAAGTCAATAAAATACTACAGGAGCAATTTGGCATGGGGAATATGGGATACAAGAACATTTTGTTCACATTTGGGTCCCGCTCTACTTTTTTGTTTTTTTTTGTTTTTGTTTTAATTCCACTGATCTAATATTATCACCCTGTTGTACCATGCAAAGTCAATGAACAATTACTTTCACTATAGATTTTCCAGAGTCTTTGATAATTCACTGCTTCTTGTTATTTTCTACTTTTGTTCTCCCTCACGTCTATCTTTGCATGTTTTTCAGATATTGATAAGTCATTCAAGCAGCTTACTCAGTGAGGCTAAAACAGAGAAGTATAAAGATTTGCGTGCCCTTCTTCAACTCCTCACAAGTCTCTGTTCTAAGGACATGGTAAAATTTTCATGTTGAAGTTGTTTATTTTTACAATTGTAAAGTTCTCTACTTTTTTTCTCATGCAATTGACCAACGTAACTGAAAATTATTGAATATGACAGATCGATTTCTCATCAGATTCAATTGAGACCCAAGGCACTAACATATCTCAGGTATTATTACATTACTTCTACATGTATCATACAAGGATAATGGATCACTGATGGCTGGTCTCGCAGGTGGTTTACTTTGGCCTCCACATAGTCACACCGTTGGTTTCTATGGACCTCCTCAAATACCCTAAACTTTGTCACAGTGTAAGATATTTGTCCATATTGTAGAAAAAGTACCGGAATTAGTGCCAAGATCCTAATATATAGTATGCTTCACTTTCAGTATTTCTCTCTACTGTCACATCTATTGGAAGTCTATCCTGAGACATTTGCACAACTAAATAGCGAAGCCTTTGCTCATGTACTTAGAACCCTTGATTTCGGTCTCCATCATCAGGTAACATTTGTCTCGTGCCAATGACATTAAATGGAACAAACAAGAAAAAACCACAAGCTATAGAATTCAATTGAGAAACTTTAAGCTTTGATCAAACCCAACCAAAAAAAAAAACTCAGCTCACAGAGCTTTTTACTAATTTAAGAATTTTTCCTTAATAAATTTCTTAAATTTTAAAAAAGGAAAAAGAAATGAATAATTTCACCAGAATTGTGCCATGTTGCTTTTTCATTCAAATTAATTTATTCCAGCATTGTAAATTCGACTTTCCCTTTTACCAAGTGGTTAATTTGGTAACCTTGCCAATTTTTCAGGATGGAGATGTGGTTAACAAGTGCCTTAGAGCTCTCCAAGGTCTTGCGTCATACCACTACAAGGAGACTATTGCTGGTAGAATAGGTTTGGGTGCACACGGCACAGGTCTCAAGGATTCAAATGGGAACTTGCAGGAAGGCCTGCTGAGCTTGTTCCTTCGTTCATTGCTGCAGTTACTTCTTTTTGAAGATTACAGGTGAATAAGTATGCTACGGTTATTTGTATGTGAATATGCGAATGAACGACATGGCTATATAATTGAGTGGTTGCAAGTTGAATATTTTCCCTTCATTTGTTTCCTTAAGAAAAATGATCACAAGTTGAAATTGAAGGGAGGTAAAAGGGAAGAAGAAAGTTTAAATGCAAATTAGGTCAAGATAACAGATATTCTACCTCTTGGTTGATACAATTTTGTTAAATGCTATCTCTAAATTATCTGGTGATGCATTTTGTTCTTGTTTTGGATGAATTGTAGTAATAACTTGAAAGAATAGCATCTTTGCTAAAAAAAATTTCCTTTCATTTGTATGTTTTTTCAAATCAAAATCCCTCAGAAGTTCAGAACATTTTGAAACCTGACATACTGTCATTTGCATGCGACATGGTAAATGTGTGATTTAAGGTCCAATGCAGATGCATGCAAATCTGAAGTTGATGTGGGGATATTGTTGTTCATGTTTTCTGGCAAATTCGAAGCTTTGTTCTTTATTTAGTGTGCTGGAAGAGAGAGTTGCTGGAAGGAAAATTAGGGAGCTCAGTGTTTTGCAAGGAGACGTGAAGCATTTTCTGAATGACATATGAGAGGGAATCTAGCATCTTGAAAGCTAGTCAACTATCTTGTTTTCTTTTGGTCAAAAAAATAAAAACTAGTTTTCTTTTTGCAGTTTTTTTATGTACTGTGCGCTGTAGTAATATTCTTATAGTTGCTTATTCATATCCTCAATTCTATCCATCCTCATATTTGTAAGAGTTATTTTCCCCGTAATTGGCTTGAGTAATACAAAGAAGAGTCCTGTCATTCTATTGGTTTGCCCTTAACACAGGCCATATATATGTTGCAATTTAGTGAACTGAACTGCTTTCTAACTGCATTGATTTTCTTTTTGCAGTTGTGATTTGGTCAGCGCTGCAGCGGATGCTCTCCTTCCACTAATCCTTTGTGAGCAAGGCCTCTATCAGGTATGTATCTGAAACTTGCTCTGGAATCCTGAGTTGTAAAGTATGGGCATGCTTGCATAAATCTTCTCCAATGATTTCTTCCCCCTTCGATGGAGAATATGCGAGTCAATTTACATACATGGACTTCGTTTTCTAGACCAGCTATTTTCTCATGCGCCCCTATTGAACCAACAATTCTCTTTATAAAGCTATCGCTTTTTCCCCCTGCTTGATTTTATATACTCCTTTCTGGATTGCATTTGTTTACAGAGATTGGGAAATGATTTGATCGAACGACAATCTGATCCAAGACTCAGATCAAGATTGGCAAATGCATTACACACACTTACAAGTGCGAACCAGCTTTCTTCCTCCCTTGATCGAATTAATTACCAAAGATTTAGGAAAAATCTAAATAGCTTCTTAATTGAAGTTCGTGGCTTTCTGCGAACAATGTGAGGTGATCAACATTTTGCATACTGTTGTACAAAAGAGATACATCACTAAAATAGTTGAAATAGCAGCAGGAGGAGAAATTTTTTGAAGGTAATGGCGAGGACGGTTGAGTTTTTTTGGTTACAGGAACATTATCCGGTGACAAGATTTGTTTGGGTATACTAGTTGGGTCAAATCTATTCTTGTTCATTGTTAGCATCATGCATTCTAAATTTTGTTTTGGCAAAATATTTTTGATCGATCCATTCTTTTACGATTTATGTATTTGCCATATTGCAATCCAATCTTTTTACAACAGTTGCCGAATCTTAAAAAGAAAAAAAATCAAATCAAATGCTCCAACGCAGAAGACAAAAACAAGGATCCTGGTCGAGTCTGGACACTGGAATCAAGAGAAACCAATAATCTTGGCCTTTTTTTTTGTTTGACGCAAACCGTGTTTTTTTAAATGGGTAGAAAGATGTGTGTATATATAGATATATTATATATTAATATGCTACAGATATATTAAATCTGTAACTGATATCTGTTAACTTTGTATGTTTATATTTTTTAGACCTGCAAACTAAAAATATATGAAAAAGAAGTCCACATTTAATTAGCTATGTCCCCCTTCATAGGGAACAAACCCAACATGCATTTACCATATATCGACGCTGCAAAACACTTTGATGGTATCTTGTTAATGTTGTTCAGCACAAAAAGGGGAGATTTCTTTGTTTTTTTTTTTTTGATAACTAAAAGAAGGGGGGGGGGGGGATTCTAACTTATAACCTACGATACCTATGAATAGTACTTAGCATTCGCTTTGCAATAACAATATCAACTCTTAGCATATCTGCCTAACAGCCACATGCAATCCAACAGTACGCTTCAGGTCCATTCCACTTCAAGAGGTCAGACATTTAAAACGATACGTGCGGTAAATTATTACTGACGATTTCTTCCCCTCGTTTTTCAGTGTTTGAACATGACCAGCACAAATTCCAGGGATATAAACATGGACAGAAGGTAGATAAAAATATTTAGCAAATATGAAAAGACAAAACAGTACTTTGTGAACCGTGCTTTTTTATTCTTTCGGAAGCCTGAATTACATAATCCGGCCAACTTATTTGTGCAGGATACTCTTCCTGGGCAATTTCGATTTCTTCTGAGTTTGGTTCTGCCAAACAATATAAAAGAAATACTAAGCACAGTTTATAAGTGCAAGCAAGATACATGCTATTCTAAATCCAAAACAGTAAAGCTACCTTCTGTTTTTCCAGGGCCTCGTAATCTGTCCTCTCCTGCCACTTACTCTTGCGAAGCTTAATTGGCCGATTTCCAACATATTTACCTAAAATCAAGACATGAAAGATGGCATAGATTTAGCAATAAATTTTAAACGTCATTCTCAGCTAACATCTTAAGGACCACAAAAACAGGAGAGAGTAAAGCAACTCAACCAAAAAGTAAAAAACACGCGACTCTCTCAGCAGCAACAATTCATTGGATGATGCAACATGTTTATCAGTTTCAAAACATGCTCAAGGTACATGTTTGACCTATAGTCTAATTATGATCTCAAATATGAATTTCAAAACATTACCCTAAACTTTAAAAAGAAAATTAAAAATGAAAATTACAGATTCTAGTTAAAATTAGAACATAAAAAGATTTCAGTAGAAACGTATCAGAGACTGAAAACACAAAACACCTGGGAATACGATGGAGATGTAAGGTTCACATAACAAATCATGTGGTTTTTAAGTGTTGATTTGAACTGTCATGGACATATTCACTTTCTGGGATATTTCGATGGATAGTGTCATGTTTTAACTTTGGATATAAAAAATTGCAATTACTTCATCACTTAAGGATATGTAATTTCCCCCCGTTATTCTTTTTAAGTGTTGCTTAAATCAATTCATGCATCATATCAATAACAAAGTCAGGGCTAAACAGCATTTGCTTGTACTCCTGTAGGCATCTGTGCACGCATTTGTAGAAAATGTCACAAGGTTCGCATTAAAAACCCGTTTACTGACTTCAAATTTCAATAAGCCTAAACCCCTCAGACTTAAAATAGATGTGGCTTTGCAGATTTTCCATTGGAAAGCAAAAAAAAAAAAAAAAGAGATAGAAGCATAATAAAAGACAGGAAGAAGAAGAGAGAAGCACTAGTTTGCAAGTAACTGACCATTCATTTCTTTGAGAGCAGCAGCAAGGTCAGCAGGATTGGCAAAGCTTACAAATCCATAACCCTTCGTTTTTCCAGTCCGCTTGTCTCTGACAACCTACAAAATAATCAAATGAATTATAGTCATAGAAACAAATTTCTAAGTAAATTTGCAAGCACCGCAAACACAAGTTGAGTTGATTTGGAAGAATGACAATCAGAAAATTAGAAACTACAGCCTATCAAGAGCCTAAAGTTCTCAGAATAGTAATTTAAGATTAAAAAATCAATAAAAAAACTACAACGCCTCAAATAAAGACAATTGTATCCTCATTTACTATATATCTTCTACATCTGATATATTTCACCTGTTGAATTAATTATTGTGACATTCTGGATCAAGAATTCCTCAATAATTTTGTTCACAGGAGACTGTAAATATATATACAACTTACAGAGATTCCTATAAAGTAAATAGAATCAAATAAAATAAAAATATTAACTCCCATAATCTCATCTAATCATATCCCAATATCTAGGGAGTAAATCTCTTTAAGACAAATACATTTAATATTAGTTTGACTATTCTCACAATCCTCTTTGAGTTGAATCATAGATACTAATCATGTTCAACTTGCTCAAACAACTTTCAAAGGCAGGTTTATGTAACCCTTTAGTCAACACATCTGCTGCTTGAAAATTTGTTGGTAGAGAGGTTAAGCATATGAGTCCATCTTCCACTTTTTCTCTTATAAAGTGCCTATCTATTTCCACATGCTTAGATGGATGGGATTCAAAGCCATGTTTATGGCAGCCTTATTATCACAATACAGCTTTAGTGGTAAATACCCATCTCCAGCTTACTAATTTCTTGCTCCTTGGCTTCTACACAATCTCCCACATCCCATTTTCTTCTAATGCTTTCATTTCCTCTAGCACAGCCTCTTTCCATCCTGGTGTTTTAAGAGCCTCATAGATGTTTTTAGGAATACTAACATCATCAACATTAGCGATAAAGGCTCGATAACTAGGAGACAAAGCTTCATACGATAGGTATTTCTGAATAGGATGTTGTGCACATCACCGAGGTTTCTCTCTAAGGGCAATTGGCAGTCCCAAGTCATCTTCTAAACTCGTCCCTATTTCTGAATTTTCATTAATAATTTCACCTTCCTCTCCAAGACTTTCTTCCCTAACATCTTCCACCGGTTCAAATTCTAGTACTACCTCAGGTTTGTGGGCTTTTTTACCATGCTTCATCTTTCGTGTGTAAACTTTAATCTCTTTACCTTTAGCACCTTTGTTCTTGTCTCCCCCTAAACTTGCATTTTCTATTGCTTCTGGCATAAAAGAGACATGAGTTCAAGAGAAGTAGTATTAGGGTGTTCTTGGTCAAGAGAATAAATAGGAGAATACTCACAGTCACGATGATGGATTGATTGAAATTCACTCCAATTCTCCCTCTGAATTGAAGGAGAAGGATAAAAGGATTCATGTTCAGAGAAGGTAACATCATGACTAACAAATAAGCGCTTAGAAGAAGGATCAAAGCACTTATAGCCCTTTTGGGAAGAAGAATAACCAAGAAACACACATTTGATATCTTAAGGCTCAAGTTTGGAGGATGAGGAAAGGTGAACAAAGGCAGAACACCCAAAGATTTTTTAAAGGAAGAGTTGTCTCAAGATGGATGAGAGTGTGTTTGACGAAGGCACACAAGTAGAATAGAGTAGGATGATATTTTACTGGGCATGCGATTAATGAGGTAAGTAGCAATGAGAATGGCATCCCCCTAGAAGTATTTAGGGGGACATTTGTGGTGAAGAGAAGAGCACGAACAACTTCAAGTAAGGGTCGATTCTTTCGTTCAATCACCCTATTTCCCTATTTTGTTGAGGACTGTCAGTATAGAAGTTTTATGAACAATTCCCTTGGACTTAAGAAACTCACCCAAAGATTTGTTAACATATTCAATGCCCTTATCAGTTTGAAGGATTTTGATAGACTTGTGAAATTGATTTAATATCATGGTGCAGAATTCGATAAAAATAGATGTCACATCAAACTTGTCTTTTATTAAACAGAACCAGCACACATGAGTATAGTCATCAATGAAAGTAACAAACCACTTAGCATGAGTACAATTAGGAACAAGTAAAGGACCCCACACATCACCATGAACAATAGAAAAAGGTTGAGAGGGCTTGTACTCAGAGCATGGAAAAGAAAAACGATGGTGTTTGGCCAATTCGCAAATATCACAACAAAAAATAACTAGAAGTTTTATTAAATGATAATTTGAGAAACAAATGACTCAAATACTAAACATTGGGATGACCCATTCTTTTATATCGTAACAAAAGAACAACATTTTTGGAAGTAGATGCAAGGTTGCAGCAGAAACAAGACCAGGGATTATTCACGATTGATTCCAGTAATAGAGCCCACCACACTCCTCAGCACTACCAATCATCTTCGCCAATGAGAGATCCTAAAAAATGTAATAGGTGAAAAAGAAGTGAGCACTACAATGAGCTTTAGTAAACTAGCTTATGCACAAGTTACAAGCCAAATAAGGAACATGAAGAACAGAATCCAAATGCATAACTTCAGAAATAGTAATATTGCCCTTTCCAGCAATAGAGGAAGAGGTACCATTGGCTGTATCAATTTTCTCATGCCCACTACATGGGAAATATGATATAAATAATGTAGAATCCACAGTTATATGATCCAAGGCTCCAAAATCAACAATCCATTTAGACTTAATGGAACAAGTATTTGAAAGCATAATGAGAATTACCTTGTTTAACTACTGAAGCATTATGACAGGGAAGGTGGCTGCCTAGATTGTAAGGACTTAATCATGTCCATAAGTTTATTCAATTGGTCCTTATCAATAGAAGGTAGTGAACCCACTTTGTTAGGAGGATCAAAGATAACTTGATAGCCATGGGATTTACCCTTACGAGGTTTCCAATTAAGATGTGTTAGACCCATGAAGATCCCAACACTTGTCTTTCAAGTGGCCCGTCTTTTTACAATGGTCACACACTCTTCCCCTTTGCATCTTTGTGGACCTGGTCAAAATGCCTACTCACTAAAGCAAAAGATTCAGATTGAGGAAGAGTAGGAATAGGGGCACATAACATCACCTTGCGACGAGAGGCCTCTTGACGAACTTCAGCAAGCGTATCACAAGGAGAAGGTAAGGGGGAGCGAGCCTATATGCGGCTACGAACATCATCCAAAGATTGATAAATACAGGCCAAAAACTGAAAGACCTGCTCATCTTCAATTCATCGCTCATACCTTACTGCATCAATGGCACATGACCACTCCTCTCCTGTGTTGAGGTCAATTTCCTGCCAAATGGCAACCAAGTCCAACGAAAATTCAATTAACTACCGGTCTCCTTGTTTAACCTGCCAAATTTGTGTCTTAAGATCATAGAGCCGGGCACCATCTTCACCATCTGAATATGACTCCTTGACTACTTCCCATATATCTTGAGCTATCGGAAGAAACATGAAGGAATGCCGAATTTGTGGTGTCACAGCATTGATTGGCCACGAAGCTACCATGGAGTTTTTGATTTCCAGCTTCACCATAGCCTTCGAGTCTAATGCGTCTAGATCCTTTGAGTGGCCAATAATAAGACCTAGCTTGCCTTGTCCTCTAATAGCAAGTCAGTTTGCCTAAGCCCATTCACGATAGTTGCAACCATTAAACTTTTCTGTGACGAGGAGAAAAGAGGACACTTCAGCAAAACTCAACCCTTGGGGAGTGCGCCATGTGAGTATAGGAGCAAGTTATTCCCTACGCCAAAACCAGAATCAATCGTCTAAGGCTTGAGTAGGCTCAAGAACGGCTTTGGAGGTAGGTGTGAATGCGACTCTGGACAGCCACAACTATTGCCTTCGTACGACTCTGGGCAATGGTCATGAACAAGCGACTTGGTTTCATGCAACCCAAGACAACAGGAAGCGTCGCCTACGCGCGACTCTGGACAGCAAGACATGTTGCCTATGCACGACTCTGGATGTGGTTGTGCAGCTCTGGAACAAACGACCTTGACACTGTGCTGCTATCGTGCGAGTTCAACGTGGGTGAGGTGCTGACTAGAGATGCAGAACAGGAGTTGTTTGAGTTTGACACTAGTGTTGGACCATCGAAAGAATTTCCAAGTCAGGTGTGCAAGGCTTTGATACCATGTGACATTCTAGATCAAGAATTCCTCAATAATCTTATTCACAAGAGACTGTAAATATATATACAAGTTACAGAGAATCCTATAAAGGAAATAGAATAAAAAAAATAAAAATATTAACTCCCATAATCTCATCTAATCATATCCCAATATCTAAGGAGTAAATCTCTCTTAAGATAAATACATTTAATATTAGTTTGACTATACTCACAACTATGCACCAATTATTCTTTCCAATTGTGAATAACTGTTCACTTCTTCCTCCACTACCCCCTCTTTTACTGTGTCAGTTTAGAACCCAAAAAACTAAGTTCACAGAAGGTCACAATAGCCACCAAACATATCTATTCTTTACTCTTTTGAAAAAAAAATGTGTGTGTGTGTGTGGACTTAGTTTGCTAAGTTTGCCAGACGAGGCTTAGTTTGCTGGAGCCAAAGTGGGAGACTACGGGCATAAGAAATTAAATCCAGTCAACCAAAGTATCTTTCCATAGGGGTTCAAGATAGTTGGAAAGCCACCTCAAACAAGGAAATAAATCAAGACAGACTGGGGGAAACAGATAGACCTACTGAAAGATTCAACAGGCCTGCTAAAAAAGCACAGACCAAGAGTCATTTGGAATCTAACAGACTTAATGACCATATGTTGACTCTAAATGTCCACAACCAAAATTCAAAAGTCAACCTGACTGGAATGAACTGCAACTAACTTTTCGGATCTCCAGTCATAAATAAGACACCAAAATAAACCTCCTAAGAATGGATTAATTTCAAATTATAAGATTCTGAAAATCCAAGCATCCTAAACAGCATCTCAATGACACCATCTCAATTTTCTTTTAGCTTGTTAATGGGCAGCAGCTAGGGAACACCTCCGATGACAAAATAATAGGAAAATATAATTTTAAATCCATACACTTACTAGAACACCAAAAAATAAAAGTGTAAAAACCTATAACACCAAAAGAAAAAAAAATGCAGGCACTTATAGCAAAACTCAAACAAAATGCAGGAATTTAAAGTTACATTTTTCCCAAAATAATGCATCAATTCTAATCATAACAACATGTCTATCTAAATATAAGTTATGATACGGGGCCTACCTTAAGATTCACGCTCTGTTCCTTCAAATAAAAATCTGAAGAGGAAATAAAAATTGTTCACACTGACATGATTGTCACCAAAAGTGAAAGACGTAGTTAGATGAAAGATCCACTTACCCGTGCCATGTTAAAGGAAGGAAATCGAGAAAATGTTTTTGAAAGAACATCATCATTCACCTCATTACCAAGATCACCGCAAAAGAGCCGATAATCATCTGCCACATCCAATTTGATAAGAGACTAATTTATGATTTTAGCTTTTGAGAGAGGGCAGTATTTGATATCAAAATGACAAATTAATTTGCACCAGCTGTGAAAAAGAGAGCGTGATATTATATGACAGAATTTGGCAGGATGAAGGCATGTGTTACATTCTCAAACCACTAATTGAGTAGCCTGGGCCCATTTTAAATGTAGGTATAGGTAATACAGGAAAAATAGCATCTGGGCCTTAAAGAGGGGGGATGTCAACCAAAATACATACTGCTTATACACCACATGCAAGACCAATAAACAATCCTTGAAGCCCCAGAATGCCCAGAACAACTTTATTTCCATATAATAGTCGTAACTTCAAAGGAAATAAATTACGCTCCAAATGACTTACTACTATTGTCAATTTTGATGCTGACTTTCTGCATTACAGCAGTGACTTCGATTACCAAGGTATTTCTTTCAAAATCCACATGAATTGCATGTTGATAACAACATGTTTTCTTTTTAACTACTACATGAAAATACAACTGTCACCGTTCCACATTCTACATATCTGACGCAACTATTCAGAAGTTACATTTTTTTATTAAAAAAACTACTGGGTCAAAAGTTGTCCACCTAAATGGCTAAATTATTCAAATTAATCATCCAAAAAAGGGAGAAGAACCTAGTTATCTCAATGAGATGGGGAATCTAGTCTTTCATTCAAACTTGCTTGATATATTTCCCTTTCCATGGGGTTATCCATGCTTGAGCCGTATTCCACCAAAGCCCAAGGGTCCGTGTGCGCGTATCACACTACCTTAAACCATTTTCATGAAGATGCAACCCCCACATGGAGTCTCGATTTTTCCTTTTTTAAAAAGAAAGAAGGAAAGAGGAAGAGAGAGAACACATGATCACAGTTCAAAATCCTGAAAGACTCTCGACAGAGTTGAATTACGGACTATGAGGACAGTCGTGCCGAAGCAAGTTGATTATCCTTGCACTACCGTGACGAATTAAAAAATAGTAATTATATAAAAGAAACAGCATACTTTCTGGCCAGTCTGCAAGAGTGGGATCCTCCCATGTTTGGCCAGCAGCTTTGCGAGGAACTGCTTTCTTTTTGGGCTCCGCTTTATGCTCAATCTCACTATTTGCAATGGCCGCCTTGACACTCTCAAGAGCTTCAGGTGTAATTGCCTGTGCATCCCTTTGAAATAGTTGTTGCGCCTATTATTTAAAAAGAAAAAAAACGATAATAATAATAATAATAATGATTTTAGAAAAAAATACACAGTTGAACGTTCAATCGAGTCTTTTGGTTCTTATATTGCTATTCTCTAAGAGCTCTGTAACGAACCCGCTACGGGAGGAATATTAAAAGTTAAACAGCAGTTAAAAACGATGGCCTCCTACTATTCTTGCGTCAGAAAATGAAAAGGAATCAAAGGCAATTATCTCATTTTACGCAAAATAAATTAATAAATAAAAACTTAGCAGAGAAATCATCGCGCACGCATGTATTGCGCGCAAGAGCATCCACCGACCTGCTGATACTGTGGCAGAGAATACAAACCAGCGACCGGTGCCGGAGAGGGATAAAGGGAAGCAGGAGAAATTTGCACGGCTGGCGATGCCGCAGAAACCGCCGCATATGGTGTCGCATACTGCATTGCTAGGGATTGCTGTAGGTGAAAAGGCACGGGGAAATAGGAACCGTTGAAGTTGGTGAATTGCGAAGACACAGATGTAGCGACAGAGGTTGATGAAGTCGCCATGAACCGCAGATGAAAAGGAGTAATTTGCCTATAATTCAGCTCTTCAAGATAGGAGCAGATCAGGAGTGAGATCGTTTTGATCGCTAGGGCTTGGTTCCCCCGACTCGAATTGCCAGATAAAAGCTTCGATGTCTCCAGAAATTTCTTCCCCCACCCCCACGGTGGCGGGGCCACAAAAAGGTTCTCGCGCCTTCCGGTGCACACAACAATCCGATAACCGCGCCCGAGTGTGTGTTCATGGCTTTGTTTGGTTGGAGGTAAATGGAGGGGAAGGGAAGGATTTCATTTCTCTCATTTGGTTCAAAATTTTTAGAGGGGAGAGGCCTCTTATTTTTGGCTCCCTTTAAGTTGGGATTTTTTTTGAAGAAGAGTTAAATTTATTGACTAATTTATCCTCATTATTTTTATGAAATTATGATATTGCCCTTGAAACACAATAAACACAATCTGGCTTTCTTTTCTTGCAGAAGCTCGGTCTATCTCGTTGTGGGTCTTCTTTTAGCTTTCTCAGAGCTCTCGGTTTGTCAGAGCTCTTATTGTGCGTCTAATCTGGCGTGTTCGAAGCCCCGCCATGCGTCTTGTCTAGAGTGGTCGAAGCTCCCGACGTGCATTATCTCATCAAGTCCTCCTCTTCAAAGCTCTCACTGTGCATTGTTAGGTCAGATTCTTCCTCACAAATGCTCTATCTATCTTTTCTTTGAATCAATTCGCTTGATTTGTGTTTGATTTGAGCTTTGTCCTGGTTTTCTTCTTCGTTCTTCGTTCTTTTCTTTTTGTTCGGACCTTGTTCTGAGATTTAGGTTGTTCAGACCCTGTTCTGGTTTTCTTCTTCATTCTTTCTATACGGATGAAGCATTTAAGTTAACAATTAGAAGCTTATATGACAATTGCTATAAGAACGGTGCTCTGTAGAAAGGCCCACCGTTTTCTTCATTTTGATCCATTTCACTTGACTTAACTATCATCGATAAACATATCATATTTAATATTATGCGCTAAAATGCTGGTGTTTCTATATGTCCTGCAAAATTAAAACATCCACTGAGATGTCTTCTCTTGACACATCGAAAGGAATCCTTAAGATTGCTAAGTTTGGGATCTATGTGACTGTTCCCATCGTTCTTGTGTATGACTTTGCCAACAATTTGAAGAACATCCAGAGATTCATGGGAAATGTAATTTTCTGTTCTACATAAAAAATGTTCAATTTTATATTGCTGTTGATTTGCAAATATAGGTTTTTGTGATTAAATACTTTTGTTCTCTGTTTATAGTACAAAGCCTCTCATTCAATTGATTCTCTTGCATGGAAATTATTGAACTGATTTCTTTATAGTAATGTGGTCTCACAAACCAAAACCCTCTAGGGTAGGGTAAAGAAGAAAATTGTATTGATGGGATATTCTACTTTCAATTTTAATGGTGATATAAACTTCACTGGATTAAATGAGCTGCTTTTGGTTCATGGAAGATCATAATGGTGATAATTGTAATGCTTGCTTTTGGTTCATTTTGAATAACTAATATGCAATTTGCGCATATAAGACACGCCTTTCAATCTATAATATAAGATAACCTCTAAAATCTATGTTCTCTATTCATTTACCTCATAATTCGGTATCGTTTATATAGTTATTCATTCCCTGTTTGTTTGTTCTAAAATTGTTATTTGGATGCAAGAAAGCAATCAGTTTTAGGTTTTGATTTTATATAGAAAAAGAGTTGCCGTCATGCTGCACGTTGCCATCGTTCCTAAGACTCTTTCATGGTCTGTGAATGAGATTAATTGGACTAGTTAGAAAGGCCCACCATTTTCTTCAATTTGTGGTGCTTTGTAGAGTCACAGAAATCTTGTTTTCCACTCGTACTATATATGATCATTGTTTTCTACTGATGAAACTAAATCTTTTGCTCTCATTTATGATAATTGTGGCTTGTTTATTGATTTTTATTATTCTTCTTGGTTGCTTTGTTAGATGAGCAAGGAATCTAAATATCTTTTACTGGTACAACATTGGTTTGAATTGCGTCGAAGAGCACTAGCTCTTCTTCCTTGTGTCCTTATAAAAGTATGTGCAAGTAAGATGTATTCAAAAAAAAAAAATAAGTTATAGTTTGAGTGGCAAGAAAGAAATGGTACGTGATGAAATAATGAGCCGAATAAGTGATAGTCCCTCTAGTTGAAATATCATTAGAATGACTCCTAGAACTTTTTTAGAATTATGTGGTATGTTAAAAAGAGAGGCTGGCCTGCAACCCACGCAATGGTCAAATGTGGAAGAAATAGTTGCAAAAACTCTATATATATTGACACACAATGCAAAAAATCGTGAAGTGAATTTTTGGTTTAGGTGTTTTGGTGAGACAATTAGTCGCCATTTTCATCCAGTTTTGACAACTATCATTGACTTAGAAGAAAAATTTCTTGTTCAACCTAATGGCTCAACCATCCGTCCTGAAATTAAAAAAGATAAGAAATTCTTCTCATATTTTAAGGATTGTGTTGGTGCTATTGATGGAACACATATACGAGTCAAGGTGCCTTCTTTAGATGCTCCTAGATATCGTGGTAGGAAGGAATTTCCGACACAGAACATGTTAACAGCATGTACATTTGATCTAAAGTTTACTTATGTGCTCCCTGGATGGGAAGGTATTGCATCTAACTCAAAAATTATTAAAAATGCATTAACACGAGAAGATAGGCTTATAATTCCTAAAGGTAAATATTTTACCAATTTTGATAAAGTTTATATTTGTGATTGTAAAATTATTATAGTAATTATTTTTCTTTATGATAGGTAAATATTACCTTGTTGATGCTGGATTCATGTTAACAAGAGGACTTATAACACCTTATTGAGGAGTCCATTATCATTTGAAAGAATATTCAAAACAGAATCTCTCCCTAAATTATAGAGAGTTAGTTAACCTTTGACATGCAAAGTTATGCAATGCCATTGAACGTGCTTTTAGTATTTTGAAAAAAAGATTTTTTATTCTATCCAATACAACTGAACCTACATATGGGATCAAAGCACAAAAAATGATAATATATGTATGTTGCATTCTTCATAACTTCCTTGTGAGTATAGACCCTATTGAAGATCTTTTAGAGGAAGTTGATGCTGTTCTTGTAAGAGAAAACCATTCAAATAATAATAACCGTGCTCAAATAGGAGACAATAATGAGGCTGCTCGAGGTGAACTTATTAGAAAAAATATAACCAATCAGATGTAGGCAGATTATCAAGAACATTTGGCTGCTCTTGAGGATGAATTTGATGATTGAATTTTTATTTTCTTAATAAGTTAGAACCTATTGTATTATTATAGACATTTAAATATGTTGTATTATTACATTGACTTATATTGAGTTTAATTAAGGTTTGATCAGATATTGAAATTTGTTATTTTATTGACTTTTATTTGCTTTATATTATTTGTTTAGTTTGACATTGAAATTTGATTAGCTTTTCATATTGGGATTAGTATTATGTGATTATGTTGTTATGTAATAGGATGGCACCAAACAATAATAAGGAGATTGTAAACTAGACAAGATTCATAGATGATACTCTCGTTGATGCTTTCATGAATGAATATAATGAGGGTCACAAAGTTAATGGTACTTTTACCACTACAGCTTATGATAACATATATAAATATTTGAGTGCTTTATTCGGTAAACAAATTGACAAGAAAAAGGTGAAAAATTGATGGAAAACTTTAAAGAGAAACTTTTCAGATGTTTATGACATTTTCAAAAGTTTGAGTGGGTTCGCTTAGAATCCAATAACTCAAATATAGGGATGTTGAGCCTGAAGTTTAGGATGCATTAATTGAGGTAAATTTTTTATATATGCATTGATTATATTATTCTTTTGTAATTTCCTACATATTCATAGCTATACTTGTTTAATGATCTTTGAAAATGGAAAAGTATGCATTTGCAATTGAATTGCTTTTGTAATTTCACTTGTTTCAGGTTAAACCTAAAGCAGCATTATAGAGAACTACTCCTTTTCTAAACTATGAAAAAATGATGATATTATATAAAGTAGATAGAGCTAATGGAGATGAGGGTGAGACAGCACGTGAGTGAAAAAAAGACGTCGTTCTTAGGAAGAAGTCATTGAAATCATTAATGACATTAACAATATTGTCTCACAAAATAGAGCCACAATTAATGTTGAGCTTGATGGACAAAAAAACTTACCAAGACAAGAAAACTCACCTGACCAAGAGCACTCACCCACTATTACTAGTGCATGTAGCAAGAAGACAGAGAGGGTGTCTAAGGAGAATGAGGCTAGTCTAAATGAGTTGACGGGAGCAGTGTTAGCTGTGGCTGAGGCAATTCAACAAGGAAATGTGATGATAGGACAGTTTCAAGAAGGTGCCATAATTATCAGGTGAAAAAATTTGGAAAATGCTTAAAAAGTGTGGGATTGATGCTGCAAAATTACCTGACATATATTGGTTTCTTATGGCTAATAGTGATAGGCTTAAAGCAGCAACTCAATGTCCAGCACCAATACGAAAGGAAGTGATGATGAGGATGTTTTATAGTTCTAATTAGATGATGACTTTTATTAGTAATTTTTGTATATTTTGTTAGCTAGATGCTCAAAATGTGGTTCTTAAGCATGATTAATATGTTAGATGCTCTTGCCCAATATATTTTGTTATTAATGATTATAATTATTGCTACATTGTTATTAAGAACGAGCATTGTCTTGTGCAATTATTGAGGGTATAAAATCATTAGTTTCATTAATTTTTTCACAAAGTATTGTTTAATATCTAGATTAATTTACTAATAAGATTATTTAATAGTATTTTTTAATTTACTTATTTAGGATGAAGAAGTAAAAAAAAATTGATAAGCTTAGGGTAATTTAAAAAAAATTATACAATTTGAGTTGATATGTAAAATAGATTTATGTGATAAAAGGTTAAAAAATAAAAATATTATTGTACAAGGGTATAATGATAATTTAATTATTATCTCCCCTCCTAAACCAAACAAAAGATCAATAAAAACCCCTCCCCTCCTCTCCCCTCTAATCAAACCAAATAAGGTATCTTAAAAACCCTCCCTTCCCCTCAAACCAAACATAGCCTACGGGTTCGTCTTCATGCTCCTTCGATCTAAGCAATTCAGATTTTAATTTAAAATCATTCAAATTTAAAGTTTTTAATAGCGATAACTTATTTAATAAATAATTTAGAAAAAGCTGATTATTTAATTCTTAAAATTATAATTCAATTTTTAAATTTTAACTCATTGTAATTCAGTTTTTATAATTTTAACTTATAACTCAATCCCTAAATTTTAACTCTTATAACTCAATCTCAATAGTTTTAACCAATTAAAATATTGCTCTCTATATTTTAAAAAATAAAATTATTTAAAATTTAGGACCTAAATTTTAAAATAGTTTTACTCTAGGAGTCCTGAATTTTAAAATAGGTTTAATCTTTATAATTTTATTTTTTTAAGTATAGAAATCAATATTTAAATAATTAAAACTATGAGGACTCAATTAAAAAATTAAAATTCAAGGACTGAATTTCAATCAAGCTAAAATTATATAAACTTAGTTACAACGAATCACAGTTTAAGAATTGAGTTGTAATTAAGTCAGAATTACAGGTACCCGATGATTAATCTTCCTAATAATTTATCATTAATCTAAATAGTTTGATTTGATATTAAAATTTTTATAATTTTTATAAATTAATCATTTACTTTGAACAAACTATATTTAATATTAATTTTTTTAATAAAAACAAGGATAATACTCAAATGGGTACTTTTGAAAGAAATAATTTTAAAAAAATTATAAGTTAAAATTTTAAACTTAAAGTGTCCAGAGTAAATCTGGATAGTAAATTTATTAAATTATAAAAAATTTTAATATTAAATTTAAATAGTTCAAATTAGATCCAAACTCTTTATTATAAATAATTTTTTTATAATTTCTTGTCCAAATGAAATTATCTGAATGGCTCATACTGAAGTTGATTCTGTGTGGCTATCAAGCATTAAGATCTCGTGCCCTTCTCAAAGTTAACGGACATCTCATATACACAAAATTGCTTCATGGAGATGTTCCATCCCCAACTACTGCACCTACAACCCATATAATTTCAGTTGCACACCAAGAAATTGAATTGCTCATTGAACTGGCCAACATCAAGATTAAGGGTTCAATTAATATTGAATCGAAAGTGAAATCAAGCTCACGTAAACTAATTTATTTTAAAGTATACATAGATTAATTCAAATAAAATTATTTTTAAAACAATAAATTTACCTAATAATAAGATACTAAGATTAAAGTGACAAAAATTTGCAGATAAAAAAATAATAACTGGTGTGTATTGTATAATGCTCCATTTAATCTCATTTATAAGACATATTTTAAAAGATCTATTTAATCTCATTTATAAGTTACAATACAGCTTTTTAGATAATATTTAAAAAGTATTTTTAAAATTATCATAGAGAGAGAAAAAGTAACATAATATTACTTTTTGAATTTATTATATAAGGACATATTTAAAATTTTATACACTTTTATTTTTTATATTTTTTTTGCATTGATATTAATAAAATCGGTAAAAATAACTAATAAAAAGGGTCAAAAGAGTAATGAATATATATACAAATATACAATTTCATTTTTAAAATCTGTGTCAAGCGAGGAATCTGGCTCCAGCGTTTAACTATGGAAGGCAAAATTACATTGTTAAGCTTCACTTCACAATAGAGGTGTGGAGTTTAATTTCAACAATAAAGCCTGGTCTTTTTTTTTTTTTTTTTCCTTCTCATTTTAGTTCTTCATCTTGCCAGTTCTTCATGCATCTTTTCATTCTTCTTTTCATTTGGGTTCTTCTTCTTCATTATTTCAGCTAGAATTTTTTAAAATATCAACCTGTTTAACCCATGGGACTAGACAAGTTGATTTGAGTTAATTCTAAGTCTAAGTTATGTCCACCTTAAAATACAAAGCCAGATCAAACGCAACGGACCGGTTTGATTTGGTTTAAAAACAACAGTGCACAGTGTGTGTATAACTTATTGAGTGAAAATACATCTTTTGTTTTATTAAAATTACATAAATCTTTTTTAAAACATAAACTTTAATTCAATATTTTAACGTTGTTAGAAATATTTTATTAAAAAATTTAAAATATATTTTTATTTGTAATTGATTTAAAAATTTAAAAATTATTAATCTGTTCTTATGATATATAATTGTTTACTATCACTCAATTTAAATAATTAAGTGTATCTTTCATTAATTTTTTAACGGTATGTTTGAATATTATTTTAACCCATTTATACATTTAATTTTTCAAAAAAGTACTAAATAAATACGATTACATATTTAAAAATTTTAAATGTAAATAAAAAATATGGGGTTGTGTATGAATTTCCTCTCCTTGATGTTTTGTGAAAATTTAGAGTTGAGTAGTGATTTTAAAAAATATGTATTTTTGGTTGTGTATGATGCATTGCACGAGTTCGTTAAAATTTATTGAGTGTGGTTGGACAATTGGTGCAGGTTTTTGGCACTTATGATTAAGTTAGGACACTATTGATCTGAGATTTTGGTGAAAAAGTGATAAAATAGATTTCAATATCCAACTTTTTGTAAAAAATGTATTTGAGCGTAAAATCTATGCCATTAGATAGAGTTAGAAGAAAGTTTTGTGTAGACACTGAAACTATCTCAATCAAACATGGGACGGAGATTTAGGATGCATCAAAAATTTCCTCCCATTGTTGTTAAATTCATGCAATGCACCGCAGTGCATAGCACAAAGGAGAGTAAACCGCAACGTATATGTCATAAACCATGCCACATGGGCAAATTATAGTTTTGAGTTTTGAAACTCATGTTTTGGATTCCATGTGATTTTTTTAACCTGCGCATTATTTTCAAACTCTGATTTGAACATTTTATGTGTATGTTAAAGATTGAAAATTAAGTTTTGAGATCCCATTATAAATGATTTGAGAATTCTTCTCTTTTATATAAGCTTACAATTTTGGTAATCCTTTGAGAGTTAATCCCTTAATTACCATCTTTTTGGAGTTAAATGGGGTTTATTAAGGGCAACCTTATAGTCTAAGGGCACACATAGCCCTGTTATACTCCTCCTTCAGTTTTTTTTGTAAGTTATTTCTACCAATCTCGTCAATATCAATATAAAAAAAATATAATCAACAAAAGTATGTAAAATTTCAAATACGCTCTTATATAACAAATTTAAAAAGTGATGACATGTTATTTTTTTTCTCTTTTATAAAGAATAATTTTGAAAATACATTTTAAATATTACTTAAAAAGTCAAACCGTGACTTATAAATGAGACTAAATAAACTTTTTAGAATGTAACTTATAAATAAAATTGGAAGGAGTACATGTCTTTTTCCCTCTCTTTGGTTTTCTTTTGCTTTTATCTCTCTTTTTTTTTTAGATAAAAAGTCAAATATATACAATGAAACAATGGAAAAGAAAAGTTAGATAATAAACACATCAACAAATTAAACAATCTCTTATGCTGTCTTTCTAACTTTCTTTATAACTAATGTTTCACCTAGTGCAATGCACAGACAAAATATCATCTAATTATATTAATTTATGTATGCCTTCAAAATTACTTTCTTGTAAGATAAATTATACTGTAGAGCATCATTGTTGTTGCATGCTATGTATTTGAAATCAACAATGTTAACATGTTTATTTAGTTTTTTTAATGAGTGTGGTCTTTAGCTAGATTGCATTAATTTGCAACCAATTGAACAAATGATAAATGTGAATGACATGTTCATAATTAAATTTGATGGAGAAATACAAACCATGTGCACAAGTGTATAGAAACAATTAGTGTAAGGTATAACATAAAAAAAAACGATAATTCATTTCAATGTTCTTGAATATCTGTTGAAATGTAACGTGAGTCATTTTTTAAGACACCTCATTATTTTTGTTGTAGATAAGTATTTTTAAGCCTTTTGCATGCAAATATATTTGCCTCTAACCAAATCAATTATACGTGCATAAAAACTTATAATAGTCAATGTCTTATTCTCCAGTAAAGTAGTAAGAGTTATTCAATGTCTTTGGACTTTATTATTTAGTGAAATATTAGAAGAGTATAAAAACAAATAAAAAAATTGATGTTAATTTGTAATTCACTTTTCTGAAAAAAAAAAAAAACTTCCTCCCCAACCCATACAAAAAAAAAAATCATGTTTAGTAGACAAAAACAATTGTACTTTTTTTAAAAAAAATCAGTTTCAAGACCAAAATTTTGTAAATTGAAAGCATTCATTAATTTCTCTTAATTACATAATTCATATTATAATTTTTTAGTTAATATTTAATCATGTTCTATAAAACTGTAACTGTTTATTATTATAAAACAATTATGAGTTATCACTAACAAGTGATTAAAAAAATGTTTATAGGACTTTCTTTTATTATTAAACTTCACTAACTCATCCATAATTATCCAAATAGATTAAAATTGCTTTCAATAGAAAGATGCTTGTAAACAATAAAAAAATCACAATTGTCAATACATTTGGGATTGTTCTATTGTTTTTTAACATAAAAAAGGTTTACATATTTGATACTTTATTATATATCATCACAGCCTAACAACTTAAGCTAGTCTCACTAAAGTACAAAAATATTTGACTTTTTTTGAAC